CTGTCGTGGTTTCCCTTGTGGTTGTCCAAGAGCGTGTTCCTGTTATTAGTTTTCTACCTGGTTTTTGACTTTGGCTTTGTTTATTGACTTCTCTATATTCTGGTATCCTGACTCCTGGCTTTCCTCATCGCTGCGTCCCTTTCTGTGTTCCCTGACCTCGGCTAGTATTTTTGACTATTCTATGTACGTTAAATCCGGCCATTCTAAGGACCGGTAATACGTTACTTATTTGTCATCCGTGCTATACATATTTACAACACTCCCTCACGTATCCTATAAGTGGGCATTATACCACTAGAGCTAGTTTATAGCTCTCAAAAACGTTAGTAGGACCATATATAGACCTTTTTTTTTGGCTGCTACCTATTTGGGTTTTATTGCACTATTAGATTTTCTTTTCTTTTTCATAAGGATCCCACGAACCCCTTGATCCCACTACTCCATAGACGTCTCTACCTCAGATAGACCTTTGATTGTCCTCTCATCCCAAGGTTTTACTGGACTCTTTTTGGACTGTTCTTTAATTAATATATATATATATATATATATATATATATATATATATATATATATATATATATATTTATTATTATTATTTTATTGTTCTCTCTCTGTATTATATATCATTGTTTATTTCTATATTACTACTTGCTCTCTAAGAAAGTTTTTATTGAATTTCAAATTTAAGGCCAATGTGTCTGAGCTGAAAACATAGCTGATTTAGAGAAATTTTCTGGTTCACATATTTTGAACTTAAATATGAAATTTACTGTAAATTAACTTTGCATTCTCACTTTAGTAGTAGTGTATAAATAGGCAAGGTTCCTTCTTTATATCATTTTACAGCATTGTATTTAAATACCATGAACAATGTACAATGTACTTGGCAGTGTGCTTAAAAATAATTTATTATGAAATTGCTTCATTATCACTAAAATATCTTCACCACATATTTATAAGGCTATAATATATAGTTATATAGTAACATAGTTACATAGCTGAAAAGACACGTGTCCATCAAGTTCAGCCTTCTTCACATTTGTTTTTTGCTGTTGATTCAAAAGAAGGCAAAAAAATATAAATAATATATTCCACATTGCTGCACATTTAGTGCACAAAGGGTACCGAACAGACAGGATATGTCTAAATCCAATTTGTGCAAGGGCAACATATAAATATGAGAAGAGCCACGTTGCTCTTTTTGAAGAAGATGAATAGCATGGGATTAAACAAAATCAAATGTACAATGTTTTTCAAGTGTAATCAGTATGAATATATGCCACATGGGGACTTTAATAAGACATGCTACTGAAAAGCCAACTGCTAAGCTACATTGCTTAAGACATAGGTATGCAGTATGCATTTTTCAAACCCATCTATAATTTAATTGGTAGAATAGTAATCAACGTAAAGATATACACTATGTATATCTGTCTTTTTTCAGAAGTCCGAACTGGTTGGCAAATATTTCAACCAACTATAACATAGTTGAAGCTATTTATATTTTTCCCTTGTGCAATATGTAAACATCATAGCAATTACAAGACATGGCATGTATACTATGGATCTGGAGCAAGAACAATTTTAATTTAGTAATTTATTACTTTATGTAACATATGTCCAACATCATTGTCCTAGTGCTGCCCTTACAACAGTTCTATATCTAACTCCTTTACAGTTTCTACACAACACTGCACAAACATTAACCCCTACATCACACCTATTCTTATCATTAACCACTACACTATCTTAACAGTTGAGCTAACATTGACCTATAAATATCATGTAATAAAAAAGATCCAAGAACCAGGTAGGCATATATACATGAAAAATAATACCATCTCAGGCTTTGTAGACATTTAGAAACATCTCAACTGCTGATTTTGAACATTTGCCCACTGACAAAGAAATTATCAGTCTATAATTTTAATGGTAGGTGTATTTTAACAGAAAGCAGCAGAAAAAAAAATAGCCAGAAATGTGCATGTCAAAAGTTATAAATTGATTTGCAAGTCAATGAGTGAAATAAGTATTTGACCCCTTCGACTTAGTACTTGGTGGCAAAACCCTTGTTGGCAATCACAGAGGTCAGACACTTCTTTTAGTTGGCCGCCAGGTTTGCACACAACACAGGAGGGATTTTGTCCCACTCCTCTTTGCAGATCCTCTCTGACTCATTAAGGTTTCAAGGCTGATGTTTGACAACTCCAAACTTCAGCTCCATCCACAGATGTTTTATGGAATTAAGTTCTGGAGACTGGTTAAGTCACTCCAGGAACTTAATGTGCTTCTTCTTGAGCCACTCCTTTGTTGCCTTGGATGTGTTTTTTGTCATGCTGGAATACCCATCCACAACTAGCTGAGGGAGTGAAATTCTCACCAATGATTTGATGGTACATGACCCCGTCCACCATCCCTGTGATGCTGTGCAGTTGTCCTGACCCCTTAGCAGAAAAACACCCCCAAAGCATAATGTTTCCACCTCTGTGTTTGATGGTGGGGATGGTGTTCTTGGGGTCATAGGCAGCATTCTTCCTCCTCCAAACAATTATCAAGATCCTCCCGTGTAGTTCTGGGCTGCTTCCTCACCATTCTCATGTTCATTGAAACTCCACAAGGTGAGATCTTGCATGGAGCACCAGACCGAGGGAGACTGACAGATATTTTGTGTTTCTTCCATTTGCAAAAATTAATCGCACCAACTGTTGTCACCTTTTCACCAAGCTGCTTGGCAATGGTCTTGTAGCCCATTTCAGCCTTGTGTAGGTCTACAATCTTGTCCCTGACCTCCGTGGACAGCTCTTTGGTCTTGGCCATGGTGGAGAGTTTGAAATCTGATTGATTGCTTCTGTGGACAAGTGTTTTTTTTTTGTTTTTTTTTTATATAGGTAACGGGCTGAGATTAGGAGCACTCCCTTTAAGAGAGTTCTCCAAATCTCAGCTCGTTACCTGTATAAAAGACAACTGGGAGACAGAAATCTTGCTGATTGATAGGAGATCAAATACTTATTTCACTCATTGACATGTAAAACAATTTATAACTTTTTTGACGTGTGTTTTTCTGGATTTTCTTTTTTGTTATTCTGTCTCTCACTGTTAAAATACACCTTCCATTAAAATTATAGATTGATGGGGGGCGGGGCTTGACATTCAAGGGTGCCAGACGTGCAAAACTAGAGCTCCTGCACCAATCTAAGATAATAGGGTATTAAACCTATTCTAACAACTACCACAACCCAATCTAGGTGCTCCTGAGGGCAGGGGACCTCTGGGCAAACAATCTGTGAATTTACTACCTGAAACACCGGGGAGTCCTGTTACGGCCTACCGGGAGCGGAGCGGGAGAGAAGCGGCCGACCTTCCCACGCTGGGCCTCTGGACTGGGTTCAATGACACCCCTACCCCCCCTCTGGACCGGTGGGGGATATCCCGGTCCCCTCGGATCCGACCAAGCACACCTATAGACACTCACCAAGCGAGAACACTGTGGTGACTGGCTCCGGGATCCCAAAATGGCGACGCCCACCATTGCGACACACGCGCTGCAAGTGCATACCATGGTGATTCCCGTGACTACATAGCCAAAGCCCTGACATGGCTCAACCAGATATTTGCCCAATTCTGGCTCAAGCTCCAGCGACGCATCGCAACTGGGCAAAACATGGCGGACGACCGGAGGCGCATGGGCCTACTGGGGGGAGGCATCAAATGAGAAACCAAGTAAGCACCCAATTTTTTTTTTTTTGTTTTTTTTTTTATTAACAATGACATTTGGGAAGATGTTGGAGGGCGGAAGTGATGTCACTTCCGCCAACCACTGCCCTGAATGGGTGCTATACATGACAGCCCCATCCAATCACCAATAGAATTTGTTCTAATCAAGTTTTTTAATTGATTGACAGGCAATTCAGCCAATGAAAGCCTTTTTACCACAGGTGATCAGTATAAAAAAAATTTGAGAAAGACAGCCCTATCCAACCACCAATAGAATAAGTTTTTTAATTTATTGACAGGCAATTCAGCCAATACAAGCTTTTTTACCACAGGTGATCAATATAGGAAATTTGAAAAATACAGCACCATCCAACCACCAATAATAATCAAGCTTTTTGATTGATTGACAGGCAATTTAGCCAATGTAAGCTTTTTTACTACAGGTGATCAATATAAGAAATTTGAAAGAGACTCTGACCTTATGATTGGATAATCACACATCCTGTGACCTCAAAGGGAGGATCCGAATCAACTTTAGAGCACTTATAAAGTGGAAGATTCCTGAGGCTACTTCACAGCTACTGAGGAAGCTCATACAAGAGTGAAACGCGTTTAGCTGGAGTTTGGACTTTTATACTTGGACTTTCCATCATTTAGCTTATGTGCTTTTGAGAAGTTTAAATATTGTTTTTATTATTATTTTTTTATCTCTACAATAAATTGTTATTTTTTTATATATTAGTCCATATAGTCCTTTCTAGCCTCCAGGAACACCATGTGGGGAATGCTATCCCAATAAATTAGCACATTGCCAACAAACCTCAGAGCCAGGAATTCAAGGCTCTGTCTAAGGTGAGCATATCTACTACTATCTCACTATATTGTATACACCATCTGTACAATACCACCTATGAGGCTCTCTCTCTCTGTTTGTTCCATATCTTCGGGAGAATATCGTTTGGGATAAAGGGGTGTGTTGCTGCCTCAAGAGCAAGAAGGAGTCACTTACGGAGCCAATAGCTTATAGGCTCCAACCCACGTGAGTGGTTTCAACCAATTGCTACCATTATTCATTTTTTATTTTTTATTTTTTGTAAACCATCTGCACTATATTCTCTCTTTTTGTTGTTTTACTTTGTATGTACATTTGGACACATTGTATCACTATGTTGGAGGGGTGAGTATACCCCCTCATTATTTATATATATATTCAATATAGCGCTCCACTTGCTGGTATATTGTTTATACCTTTTTTTCAAGTAAGCACCCAATGTCTGCCCTCCCAGGCCAAGAGCCACAAGGGGCTTGCAAGCCCTGCATCGCCCACAAGGACGGAAGACGAGCCGCACCCTACAACAGTGACAGGCTCGGACACTGGACGTACCAGAGTCGGTGGAGCAAAGATGCCGGCTCTCACCCAGACCTGGGGCTGGGGAGGTACCAGACCCTGGAACAAAGCCATATCTGGCCGATCAGCTAAGAAGCACTCACCCAGAGACACTGGTCACCGACACCTGAATACGAACTGCACTCACCTTGTAATCGATAATTTGTGTACCTGTAAGGTAGACCAGCATAGCATAGCCACGTCCTCAAACCGAGGTTAAAATTCTTTACTGCCCAACCAGACCATGCCAGGAACTCTTACTAACCCTAACAAACCCGTTACTCATCAGTATGCACCACTAGTCATAACCAGAAAAGCCTGTTTTGTCTTCTATGCATGGTTCAATATGCAATGTTATAACCCTAAAAATGTGCATGACGACACTAAATGCCACTTAATATGTCAGCTCTGTACTATACCATTTGTGTCTACTGCTGTTGTGGAAAGACACAATTGTATGTTTATCTCTGCACAGCAAAAATATTAAATAAAAAAAAATTATAGACGGATCGTCACTTTGTCAGTGGGCAAACGTTTTTCTCTCACTGTATGCACCTTGTTTTACAAAATCTATAACTGGAAAATGCAGGCCTTGATTTAATATTTTTGTATAACCTTTTCAATTAATTTAATGTTTGTATAAAATTTTAGACTCTTTCAATATTTTGGTAAATATTTTAATATTTTGCAATTTTTATATACAGTACTAATACATAGTTTGCATAGGATATATTTTTGATATTTTAATACTTTGATTTAAAAAAGTTACACAAAAATATAAATCTAAAAAGCTTATATAAAATACCATGCATATGAGGCACCATCCAAATCTGTACAATTAGCTGTTTCTGCTTTAGGGTAATTGCCTTCAGTAGTACAAGTTGCATTTCAATAATCTCCCAATCATGAAATTAATATTATATTATCAAATTGCATACTAAATGAATAGTTAAGTGTTTACATATGGCATCATGATAAAGTATTACCTTAAAAAAAGGATAGGTTTATTTAGATATATTTTACACAATTTGTAGAAACACAACCCTTTTCTGATAGGTCTACCCCTGTGTACAGAACACCATCACTGGTGGCTTTTGGGATGCCAATGTTTGGGATATGCATACTCTCTAGAGCCAGATAAGCCAGGAAAGGTACTGAAAATAAGTATTCACGTATACATATATGAATTGTGGAAGTATACACACATAAGTCATCATACATGCATTCATTCATTTTAGATTGAGTCATTTTAAAAAAAAAAAAATTTTAAAAATAATTTAAAATAGTATAATTAAACCAGCAAATAAAAGGTGGTTTTCTCCAAAGAGTCTTCAAAAGATATGATTTAGTATTTTCAAACGTTTTTTAATTGCACCTTAATTGCATTCTATGTCTAAGAACTATGTCGCCTTCTGGTTTTTGTGACACTGACTTGTATTTGAAATAATAGTAAAAACTGTGACAGTTTTATCTTCATATTTAGTCTAAATTAGCTTAATTTGCCAATGCAATTCTAACAAGTAGCTACAGATGTAGAATTTGTTTTCTGCCAGTTAAAAACAATGTACCGCACCCCAAACACAAGAATTGATTGTGTAAGCATTACTTTATCCATAGGGAACTACTTAAGAGCTGTGGAAGTCTGCTTCTTTCCGTGGTTTTTCTGTTCTGTAGTTTGAATAGAAATAGATTCTTCTTTGTTAAAATGCATTATTAATTAATCAAAGCTGTGCTCAAACATTTGTGGAAAGAGGATATGAATCCCAAATGGGTTCTTCTTCACACACAGAACCCATATATCAAGAGTAACAAGAAACCACATGTTTTTAAGAAGAAGCAAATAGCTTTTCACAGAAAATGGGAAGGGTGTGAAGAGGGGAGAATGTGAAAGTCTGTTAAAGGAGTTCTAATATAGAGGCTGTGAACATGTACAATCAGAATTGCAATTCAGCTATATGCATTAGTCAATTGAACTTTCTCTTAAAAAGTTTAAACCCATAAGAATACTTTCTATCTATGCTTCATAGTTGCTGAAAGTAATAAACTGTCTATCCTGCTCTGCTAGTAAACCCACTTTTGAATTGCATTAAATGATCGAACCAAGAGTTGCTTAATGTTCTGGAAAACAGTATTCATTTTTTTCCATCACACTATTACTGTTTTATTTTCAAATAGCTTACTTAAATAGTACATTACAGCTTTGATACATCAAAGTGAAAAGAGAGCAACCTTATTGTTCCCTCACTGGTCAATGATAAAGAAATTGGGCAACGTAGCGATTTCAAACACCAGCACTAAGAATTTCCTTTATTAAAACATAACAATTAGTTGATAAAATGTATAAAAAAATAATGGAAAAAAGAGGCACTTGTTATTTTATTGTGTTAATTAGCTATTTGTGTATGCAGTGATTAATATCTCCATTTACCGTATTGTACCACCTCTTAAGTGATTTAATGACTAAATGTTTGACTTGGATATCACCAGCTTTGCTCCTCTTCCTGAGTTGTGTTTCAAAGCAGTAGTATACAGCACACACATACTCCGAGGAATCCATGTGTAACGTGTAATTATGAGGCAAAATGTGGTTCGTTGTTGAGCTCATTTGCATATACCTACCCATAATCCCTTGCAGTAGTGAGAGCACTCTTAATGTGAGATTTCTGTGGGAAAAGCAAGTCTAATGGCTTGATTGGTGTGTGTATTTGTGTTTATCAATGTTTTAACTATCTATATATATATATATATATATATATATATTATAATTATAAAAGCCTTATTGCTAATGTGAATAGATTACATATGGTAAATACTAAAACAATCAATAGTGTAAATGTAGTAAATGTAAACCACTATTTCAAGGATTATTTTCTTTCTGAAATTGTATTACAGGATTGGAGAAAAGAAATTATGTCTATATCTAAAGAGGGATCACAATATTAGTATAGGAATTTAGATCTGAAGTAGTTAAGAATACATTTTAGAAAACATTTTCATTATTAGGTTTCAACATGGTTTTACAAAGCATCATGTAAGACTATTATAACTGTATTATTTGAAGAAGTGAGAAGTATAGATTATGTTATTGCAAAAGATGTGATTTACTTACAATTTTTTTTTAAATCCAGGCCCAGACTTGAAGCATTCAGTCTTGAGTTTAGCTGCCCTGCAGTGTTCAATATGGCTGGAATTGGATAATATAGCGCCTGTTCGGAACCTGAATTGATAACTCCAGGATCATGATTTTGCAGTCCAATTTAGGATTTTAGTGAGTTACCCTGTAGGTATAATACAGTTTCATTAAGATGTTATTTCCCTATAGAATGATTTGCATAAACTAGGGACCTTAACAGGCAAACTACATTGATATAATAAATAAGTACTGCCCAATGGAATGAAGAATCCACAAACAACGTATACCCTTAAAGGTAGTCAGTTAAACATAACACTAAATGAGAATGAGGTTAGACAACAAGGTGCAATGTCAAAATGTTGCAAAAGGACAATAAATGATTGACATGCAATGAGTAGTGATGTCCCGAACGGTTCGCCACGGACAGCGAACATATGACCCTGTACCTCACAGTCAGCATACACATTCCAGCCAATCAGCAGCAGACCCTCATTCCCAGACCCTCCAACCTCCTGGACAGCTCACTAAGAATGCAGCTTCAAAATGGATGCTGTCCAGGAGGTGGGAGGGTCTAGGAGGGAGGGTCTGCTGCTGATTGGCTGGAATGTGTCTGCTGACTGTGAGGTACATGGTCATATGTTCGCCGTCCATGGCGAACCGTTCGGCGAACCGTTCGGGACATCACTAGCAATGAGTATTAATGCATGTGATTAAAATGTAGTCTAACCTCTTTATAAACCATTTGTAAAACCCTGCTTTGAAAAAGCTGTGCAATTTTGGCATCTGTTATAATGAGACATAATGCAGAACTAAAAAGAATGCAGAAACAACCTAAAAAAATTGTAAGGGGAAGAAATTCAAGCTACGAAGAAGGAATAGAAAACTTTGTTTACTTTACAAAAATAATCTCAGATTGGATATGATAGCTCTTAACAAATAGATACAGGGCCAGTACAAACCGTTCCCTAGTAACCTGTTCATTATGAGGATGGATGTGCAAAGGGCAAGAGGCCATCCTTTAAGACTAGAAGAAGATTATTTTTTTACAGCTGTTAACAGGTCTTAAGAGTAAGAACAACAAAGGAGTAGAATTCTCTGCTTTAAAAAGGTTAATTTATCACCTTCTACAGAGTTTTTTTTTTTTTAAAGATCTGGATTTTTTTTGTTTTTTTTTTAGAAAAACAATATTCAAAGAGCTTGGTGGTCAAAGAGAAGTCTGCCATTTTACAATAAAATTTAAAATTTCCCTTCGTGTGGTACAACTGGAAATCACTTATTTTTTTCTTCATTTGAATTAACGGCAGACACCATAGATTAAAAATGACCTTGATGGACTTTTTCAACTGGTATCACTATGCTATTGTGTATTTGAATACCCTATATTTACAAATGTAATCATCTAAAATGAAAAGAAAATTGTTATGTTTAGCTTCTTGTGGGAGCTACTGCATGAGATACCTAGAATTGCTTGATTTATTTTATTTATTGTTTGTAGATGTCTTTGGTTAAATATCTCATTGGTCCTTGTGAGCATTGCTACATGAAAAACGGTGATATGTAAAGAACTGGAATGTGAGTGACTGGAGCTAGAAGAGTTGAGGAAAGGACAGAAGGCCACAAGGTCTATTTAAACTTATAACGAACTGCTACTTTTAATTTAGGACATATTTATATATTTAACAAAATGGTAATTTAATAAAATGTAAATATATATATATATATATATATATATATATATATATATATATTTACATTTTAATTATCATTCTTTTGTATTATTTCCATTCTTAATATATCCCTCTCTTTATTTAATACAACCCCTGTGTGTAAAATTGCCTTATAAAAATCCCCCATTTACCACATCTAAAACCAGAATTCCATATATGATTCTTATTTGCACTATGATGTACTGCATTTTTCAATATATGCAGTTTATATGGTGTACCATTTATATGAAGGTCTGTTATGTCTTTAATACACTGCTATTTGCACTTTGTGATATATACATATTGAAAATATCTCACTATGAAAGTTTGCAAC